CCTTTTAAAAAATAAAGCAAAACAACCCTCCCTCCAAAATCTGCTCACGAAGGGCACGGCTCATTATTTAAAATAGAAGGGCTTTGTCTTTTACCTCGACTCCAAGCCAGAGGTCAGTGTGGACTCCAAACATTACTAGGGTTAAGGAGCATCTCACACTTTTTTTTTTTTTGATATAGGTGCAGAGAAGAGAAGTTCATTGCCTAGGATTCGTCAAGACAGTGGGAGAGCTGCCTCCAGCCGGTAGACTGAGGCCCCAGGTAGAATCACTTAATGATCTTGGAGACCGTTGAGCCCGATTTGACCACTTCCCGCCCTCAGATGTGCCGGCTGCGGGGAGTAGCTCTCACCTGGATCTCCCAGACGTCCAGGACCGCACCCCGCGAAGGGACAGGGCGCACGCCCAAGTCGCAGGAGCGCTGCTCAGCCGGGTGGCCTGAGTGTGACGACCAGAATCGGGCCAGGCCGGGAGGAGAAGGACTCACCGAGAAGCCCCCAGAAGCCCCCCAAAGTCCCCCTCACGCCAGAAGCTCTTGTTGCAATTGCGGAAACAGTAAGGAGTGACGTCGGCACTCGCTGAAGACCGTGAGGCCTGGGCAGAGACCACGCGCTCTGGGCTCCGCCGGCGCACTAACCCCTGAGCTGCGGGGCCTCACCGCGCCTGTGGGCGGGGCACCCAGGGACAAAACGCGGGTGCTTATGGGAGGCACCGTGGAGTGAGCGGGCTCCAGGCGGCTGGGAGAGGGAAGGAGGCAGCTTGTCACGCACACTCCCGGCAGCATGCGGGAAAGGATGAGCGTAGGAGCGAGCTCACCTTGCCAAAGGTTCCTGGCAAGGTGATGCCTCCGCTCCCGCAGCTACTGTGTATTCCCTTTGAACTTGACCTTCCAACAGGAACCGGTAAGTGCTATTCGCTTGTGCAGCGGATTCCGGGTCAGCCTCGGATCCGCCAGAAGCCAGGCGCCCCGTCTTTCCCTTCCCCGCCTCAAAGCAAAAAGTAACAGTAACAACAGCGCTCCGGGCGGGGTGCGGGGCGGCAGGGCCGTTTGCCAGTTCTCACGCCCGCAAATTGCCCCAAATTTGGACGTTTGACTTCTCCTTCGTAGGTGGCATAACCTCATATACACCCAACATGTTTGAAAGAAGTTCATCGTTCTGCTTAACCTGGACTCCATATCGGACCACCCCTGCTTGCAAGGCCCTGGGAATCAATCTCCTTTTATAAATGTTTTAATGATTTGAGCACCCCGGTTTATGTTGAATAACTTCTATGTGTAACTACAGAAAAAAATTAATTTATTACATGATGTAACCATTTACAATATAACACAATTTTTTTGCAACCTATTTTGGCATTTCTTCATTTTAAAAAACATATTTTTCAGGAGACTTGAAAACTGGCCGAGGCCCCGCGTCTCTACCCCTCTAAGGGACCCTTCGCTGAGCACACCGCAGGTCACTTGGAAACTCCTGAAGGGTGCAGGAGTTCAAGAAAGATTGTTTCAGATCAGCCTACTAAGCATTGCCCAGAAATTAATAATAATAATAATAATAATAATAATAGTGGCAACCGTAGTAGTAAGTCCATACCAGCTAGCTGCGCAGTGCTTAACGGTTTTCAAACACACCCACCCTTAGTAATCCAACCACCCCAAAGCCAAACCTGGAGATGCTAGTTCTAAAGGACCGTCTATCCACACTGCCGGCCTCAAATCCTAAAATATGCTTCTGAGCATGTTGTTGTTGTGTATTGTTTGGCTGCTCGTCCGGGCCGCCCTCGGATTAGGAGCCTCAGCTCCCGCTTCCTTCGAGGTTCTGGGCGCGGCCTTCCCTGGCGGCCAGGGCTGCGCAGTAGCCACGCGCCGTGAGCGTGTGTGACTACCCGCTCTCAGCGCTTTCCGACTTACAAAGCGCTTTCCAGCATCTGCTGGGTCCTGCAGTCCCCGCGCAGCTCGGTGTGATTCCCAACTAAGATTGTTAGCCGGGTGAGGCGGTGGCCCGCAAGTCGAGCCCTGCGGGGCCTGGGCAGCGGGGCCCCAGCGCGGGCCTGCCTCGCTTCCCTCCTCGTCCTTTGAGGACCAGGAGCTCCTCCGCCAGTATTCAGGTTTCGGGGAGATGTCTAAATTTCTCCGCTGCCTAGCCTCCGTTGGCGGCGGCGGCTTTCCCCCGACGCAGAAGCCTTTTCCGTCCACCTAGTTGAATTCCGTGTGCTCGCGCGAGGCTGGATTCTACCTTCTCCTGCCAAACACCGATGAAACCTGAACGGAGTGGCCGCCTGGCCAGGACAGAGGTCCGGCGGCCGGCTGGGGAGTTAGAGTCAAAGGATCCCCGTCCCGAGGGATGTTTGCCGGCTTTGGAGGATGTCTTGCTTCTGTGGGATGCTCGGTATGGTGCTTCCAGGCTTGCCAGTTTCCGGGTCTGCAAAAGCTCCCCATTCCCGGGAAGCCCTCAGACACCGCCCCTGTAGGGGCCCAGCCCCTCTGGGATCCGGGATCCGGGCCAGACTCTCAGAAGCAAGGGGACATCTTGAATGAAGTCAGATTCACTGTCAACCTCTTCCCTTGGGCTAGTGCGGAGGAGTGGCGAGAGCACGGGGTTTCTCTGTGGCCCGGAAGCCATCTATTTCCTGAAATGGAACCCATTCCCAAACTCCCACTGCTTGGCCCAGCTCTTCCGAGATACTCCTTCGGTCCGTGAGCCCTTCCAACCTAGTCGCTTGGAGTTAGATGCAGCTTGGGAGAGTCAAGGCCAACAGGCCATGGATTTGAGTTACAGACACACACACACACACACACACACACACCAGCGATATTTGGTAGCCGATGGATCTCAAATTTGCTGCCCAGAGCAAGATTCGTGGGCTGAGCTGAATCCTTGGGACCGATTTCAGTGCAGGTCACAGCGTGTCCCCTTCGCAGCTATTCCTCCTGCCATGGTTTACCCATCTAAGTGTGTGGGTCGTACCCAACTATCCCAAAGGCCAGCTCGGAGATTTGCTAAGGGCCCAAAAGTACTGAGAAAGATGAATATAGGTCCAAAGGCTCCCCTGGAAGCTACTCTGGGAAATCAGGCTCCGAGGAAGCGGACAAGGAGCACTGCGCCCCAGTGGCGCAGATCATGGGTGGACGAAGGTCCCCTCCGTCAGGAAGCAAGGCGGGCAAAGACCCGGACGCTTTCTAGTCTTTTTTTTTTTTTTTTTAAGAGGCAGGGGTGGTAGTGGGAAGGAAGAGGAAATTCAGAAAGTAGTACCGCAGATTTCCAACAGGAGCCATGTCTACAGCCGGGGGCCCAGGTAAAGATACCTGTCTCAGGTCTCCAAATGCAGGGGGAAATCTTCCGAAGCCCAGCTGGCCCTGCAGGCTGACTCCGACTCCCGGGATCGGCTCTCAAGGCGCTGGTTGCCAGCACCAGCCGTGGGGCAGCTCAGAGTGAAACTGCAACAATCTGGGGCAAACTGAATTCGTTTGGGTCATTTTTCCCAGGCTTCTGGAGCCAGCTCAGGATAACTGGCCCAGGCGGGGAGCGCAGAGGGGGCGAGAAAGGGAAGGGGCGCCGCTCGGCCTCCTGGAAAGAAAATCCCTAGTTCCCTCAACTCCAAATCCGCAAGGATGGAGGACAAACTTACCTCTTAGGCCGCAGTCACAATCAAATGCCATTTCAGAAGGGGAAAAAAAAATCGAGCCTCCTTCCCCAAAACCCCTCAGTAGTGGCGATCTCTGCAGAGAGGAAGGGAGCGAATTCTAGCATTATTGGAAATGTTCTAACTTTCTACAAGGAAAATGCATTCATGATTAATTATGAAGTTTAAGTGGAATTTTTTAAACATGCCAAAAAGCAACAAAATGATTGCAGGAACCATTTAGAAGGTGGTTGGACTTGGGGGCAAGGGTGTGCATATCCTGAGGGCCTTTGCCTTTCCTCACGCTTTGCTATTTCCACAAAGCAGGAATCGTTCTCGAAAAGGGCTTGTCGCAACTCTCTGCCCCACCAGGCGGAGGGGCCGCAGATCCCTGGCCACGGACTTTGGGATACAAAGGACTGGGGGTCCTGAGGCTGGAAAAGGTCGCTGGCCAGGGAAAAGGGTGGGTAGGGCTTTCTGGTCAGGGTAAAACTGAAAGTAGCTGGGGCCTGGGTTTGGCATCTCCCAGCTCCGGCCGGCAGCGACCCGAGGCCTCAGAGCCTGCAATGTGGCATTAACTCTTCCTTGCTCGACCCGGACCCTGTGGGAGGGGAGTGAAGCATTTTGCTCTGGCGAACCCATGACATTCTGGGGAGTTCGTGGAATGGGGGCGGGTTGCGTTCGTCTCTAAAATGTAAATAATAATTAACCCTCGCCCTACTCATCCTCTACTTCCACCTTAGGCTTCTGTGTGGATCAAATGAGACCATGTCACAGAGAGAGTGAGTGGAATCGCTCTGGAACAACGTAGAAGGCCATTTGCCCCCTGCCGGGGTCAAAGCTCAGTTGACCCTCCCCAAGAGACCTCTTATTATAGGCCTGCTTATTATAGCCTTCAGAACTTCAGCAAGTTTTGGCTAGCCTATTCTCCAAACAAAATGAAGACAGGGTCACTTACAGAAACTCTGGGAAAATCAAAAGCAGAGAGAACTTAGGGCAGGTGGAGGAGACAGCAGGTTGAGTAGGGGTTGAAACTGGCTGTGGGTTCAGCTATGGACGCTTTCCAGACTCTCAAACCAATCCCACGAGGAAAAAATAAAAGAGCGAGTGAGAGACAGAATCCTAGGCATTTGCTCCTGAATCAGTGGGATTCAGCTGTGACTTTTGCAAAGTCCCCTACATCACAGTTCCCTGAGCTGCGCAGATTTAAACACTTTCTGTCGGGTGGGCAGCCCGGCCGCTCTTTAGAGGGAGGAGGCATCCTTGGTCCAGGACTGAAAAAGTGGTTGGAAAACCAGCCCTAGACATTTTTACAGTACTGGATTCCCCAAAGCCGGACGGAAAGAGGCTCAGAGAAAACACGGCGTCCAGGAGAGCATATTAAACTAAAAGTTTATAAATTAAAGGAAAAAGAAAGATAAAGCGAACAGAGCTTCCAAACTTCACAAATCTTTTTAAAGTTAATATTCTAGTTGAGTGCACAGTGCCCTTAAGGAGGCAAAAAGCAACGAGGTTGACAGGATCATCTGTCTTAGGGGCAGGGGCAGGGATGGGAGAATCCTGGGTCAGAACGCAGGAGCCACGGAGAATGATCCGTAGAGACAGAGGGCCCGCGGCGCCGGAACTGTGGGGGATGCCCGGGAAAGGCTGGGCAGGGATATTCACATTGAATACAAAAATAACCGTTATTTGAATACAAACAACCGAAAAGTGCTACACGTTTTAACCTCCTTTACAAAAATAAAAAGAAATAAAAGAAAGTTTCTGCCAAAGGCCGCTGGGTTTGCTCTTTCCCGGTTTGGGGTTCCCAGGAAGCTCCCCAGTTGGAAGCGGCCCTGGACTTCGGAGAGGAAAGATTCGGGGGGAGGGGGCTCTGCCCTGCCCTGTGCTCAGAGGCTCCCTTCTTTACATTCAGCATCCAACAGGGCGTCCCCACCCCCGGCTCTGACACGGGGAGGGGTGGGGTCAGAGGGCCCCAAAAGCAAACCTTTCACGGTTCAAATCAACGCCCATCGCTCGGGGCTCCTTGGGGCTGTCAAGGTTCCGCACCCCTTTGTTACAAATGCAAGTTCCAAAAAAATAGATATGTAGATAAACATAGATTGGTAGCATGGATACCATGAACTATTGTGGCCTAGTGCACGAAGCTCCCAGCCGGCCTGAAATTCTGGGGATTCAGGCTACGTGGATCCAGGAGTTCTCTGCGCTCCAGGGAAACGCCGTCTCCTGGCAGATACAATCCAAATCCAACTTTGTTGTGATAATAAATAATGTCCAAGAGCTTCCAGGCAGGCAACTGGGGAGCAAGGCCCCTAGGCCATAGGGTGCCTCCATTCAAATGAGAAAAAGGCGCCCTCTCTGGACAGCCTCAGTCCCGCTGCCCGGGCGCGCTCTTGGATTTTGAGCCCGGGCTGGATTTCGTCCTCCACTCGCCCCCTCGGCGGGGCGCCCTCGTACGGAGCACAACCTGCACAGCGGTCTGCGGCCGTCCGGAGCTGGGGCGCGGGGATCGTCTGCTGCCTCGCCCCGGGCCGGCTCACTGGGTGCCCGCGGCGGCTGCACACGTGGACAGCGCCCAGCCGGGGAGGCAGTAGTAAGGGTAATAGTAGGGGGGCTGCAGTGGCAGCAGCGAGGGTGGCCGCAGCACCTCGCCGGGCAAGTACTGTCTCTGGTCGTCGCGCACCAGCACTTTCACCGCCACCTTCTTGGCGGCGGGCGCTGACGCCAGCAGGTCGGCGGCCATCTGCCGGCGTTTGGTCTTGTAGCGACGGTTCTGGAACCAGATCTTCACCTGCGTCTCGGTGAGCTTCAGCGACGCGGCCAGGTCGGCGCGCTCCGGCCCGGACAGGTAGCGCTGGTGGTTGAAGCGGCGCTCCAGCTCGAAGACCTGCGCGTGGGAGAAGGCGGCCCGCGAGCGTTTCTTGCGCGGCTTGGGCGCGGCGGGCTCCTCCTCCTCCTCCGCGCCGCCCGCCGGCGCGCCGCCGCCGCCGGTTCCGCTGCACAGCGCCGGCACGCGTGCACTTCCCGGGCCAACAGCGTCGTCTTCGGCCCTAGGGCTGCGGTCGCCTGCGGACCCCATTGGGACAGAAACAACAGACTGTCAGCGTCGCAGAGAAGCGAGGTCTGGCCTCAACTGCGGGGGTGGGGGTGGGGTACGGAAATACACTTCGATCCCAGCAGAGCGCTTGGGGAGGGTCTGCACATCAGTCTCGGAACCCTGTTCCACCAGCTTCTTGCATCTAGGCCTGCCCCGCTCGGGAAGGGGACTCGGCCGCTGTATCAATGCTGTGTGGCCAAGATCCAGCTCCCTGCCCTCACTGGGCCCCCGGCTCCCCTCAGTAATGTGGGGGCACCGGGCCTGAGCATCCTCACAAGCCTTCTCAGTTCTCAGCGCTGAGCCCTGGGGTTCTACATTGCTCCCTCCCTGGGTTTACCGGCCTCTGGCACACTCACACTCATACACGCTCATTGTCGCAGCACACACGTGTCGACTGCGTATAACGGGAAGGTGGGGGGCCGAATCCTCAGACAGATGGATTCGGAGTCTTACCCCCACTCCCCAACCACCCGGAATTGTGTGAGGTCTATGGCAATAGTCTGCTCCAAAGCCTTGGTGGGCTTCTCTCTCTCTCTCTCTCTCTCTCTCTTTGCAAGGAAATGAGAAGCGGGCTAAGGATTGAGGGTGAAGAGAGGGAGGTGCCCCTGCTTCGAGTCTTTGAACCCTAATCTGACGCCAGCTCCTCAGCCTCTTCCTGGATCTCCCCACAGGACCCTAGCAGAGAGGTTCAGAGCTCTGGGCTCTGGCAAATACTATTTACTTGTAGCCAGCGTGAGGCCTACAGCAGCGACCAGCCGACAGGGGGGTGGGCGTGGGGGTGGGGGTCTTTCCCACCCAGTGACCTGCCAGCCCTGGCAGAGGATGTTCCTCTCCCTGCTACTTGTGGGATGACCCACATCAAGCCCCTCTGCCTTCAGCCGGCTGCAGGGTGTGCCGCCAGGTCTTGGGTCCTCAGCCCATCCCAGCTCCCCTGACCCTGAGGTCTGGGAAAGCTAAATAAGCCCTCCCCCCAAAGCCCAGGCTTGGCAGATGCACGCCTCCCTACCACTTAGAGGTATCCCTCACCACCAATCCTTGAGCGGAGACCTCGGAGCCTTGGGACCTCGAAGCCTTGGGACCTCGAGCTGGGAGCGTTTCTGTTCTGTGGGCCAGGGGCCAGGGCACTGGCCACTCGAGGTCTCTGGGCCCCTGGCTCTTCCCTGTCGATGATTTGAGGGATTTGGACGCAGACAGGGCCGAAGCACCGGCGATGGACTTAAAGCCAGGGTGCAGTGGTTTTCTCTTAGCCCGGTCTAGGGCACAATTGCCCCAGGACGTCTCAGGCCTCACCCCAGGACGCAGGGTTCTGAGGAGTTTCCTGGTTCCCTCTCGGGCTCAGTTCCCGAAGGATTAGAGCCGCCTGCGCCAGCGCGAAGAGCTTAGGGTCCCGGCCAGCCACGGGGCCCCACGGCGCAGGGTACTCCCAGCAGGCCCCCCCCCCACTCGGCGTGTTTGCCCTCCTTGCCCAGCCCCTCAGCCCGGCCCCCTTCCCCGCCAAGCCTCGGCAGACCTGAGACGCTGGCCGACATCTCGCTGTCGCTCCGGCCTGCGGCTTCCTCCTCCAGGTCCTTGGCGGCGGGCAGCTCGCAGACCGGCTGGCCGAGGCCCAGCGTCCCCCTTGCACGGCCGGCCCCGCTGGCCCCCGGCGCGTCCGCACAGCGCCGCCCGCCCTCGTTCTCCTCGCTCAGCGCCGAGTCCGAGTCCCAACAAACCAGGCTCTCCGCGGTCCGCCCCGCAGCCGTTCTGGTCCCGGCAGGCGACGCCAGCAGAGAGTCCTCCGCGCCCCCCAGAGCGCCCGCGTCTGTCTCCCCGAAGAGTCGCCAGCAGCAGACAGCGGGCGCCTCAGACACTGCCACCGCCGTGCCCCCGGGTACCGGGCGCCCCTCTGGCGCGGGCAGCCCGCCGCGCTCTTCTTTCTTGTTGAGGATTGCCTGGATGGAGAAGGGCGTCAAGGTGTTGGCGCCGCGCACAGCCATCTGCGCCGTGGGCCAGGGCGGCCGACCGGCCGGGCGGCTGGGGCGCAGGGCAGCTCGGAGCTGGACGCAGCGCGCGGGCCGCCGCAGTGCGAGTGAGCCGGGCGCGCGAGGCCCCTGCAGCCCACTCCTGCGCGGCCCAGCAGCCCCCGCCCCCCTCTGGCCCGGGATCAGCGCCGACCCTCACCCGCACTTCCGAGGCCCAGCCCTCCCAGAGACCCCCTCCCCCGAATCCAGAGCCAGACGCTCTCCTTTCGCAGCTCAGCTGGATTATCTCATCGCCTCGCGCCCTTAGGGGCGGGCGGGGGTCTGCCCCCTCGGAGGATGTTGGGGGCGGATCGGCAGGGCCCCCACCGCGGCTGCAGTCCCCTCCTGAGCGCCTGCGGGGCGCACGGCCGGAGTCACTTTTTCTTTGCGCCTCGGTCTCTTCCCTGGCTGCCCGATTTCGCTCCCGGTTCTTCCTTTCCCTCCCAGTTGGTCCGGCTCTTCCGGAGCCCACCCCCAGCGGCGGCGGCGGCGGCGGCGGCGACGGCGGCGACCTCTGGATTCCGAGAGGCGCGGGGCACCTTTTTACCCCCTGCTCTGGTTTTATCTGTTTCTTCTCTCTTTCCTTCCCCGGCGTTCCACCGTGTCCCCCCTCCCGCGCGGGTGTCATTCCTCACCCCTGAGTGACAGCTTCAGGCCACGCCCCTTCACTGGGTTGTCCGGGGGCCCTCCAGGCCGCCTATTGGCTGGTTCCAGCTGGGCGACGTTGACTTTAACAGACAAAACTGGGCACGTTGTGCGGAGAAAGTCAGGGTCTGACTTAACCCCTTTCCTCCCAAGCCTGGTCCTCGAAGCATCCTCCAGCAACCGGGAGGCTTACCCACCCACACACGGTGTCCGAGAATTCGCGTTTCTTATCTCTGCAGATGTATCCACCCATTCCTGCGCTTTTGTGGAACACGATATTTAATAGTCGAGGCGAAATCTAAACGTGGGAGTGTGGGCAGGGGGGAAATCCAAGATAACGCAGTTCGGTAAATCGCGCAGTTTTCTGTTTTCTAGGAAGGCTCAAAGATAAGAACAAAATGCTTTTTTTTAACCTTTATAGTTTCGCGGCTTCCTCACTGCTAATTCTTTTCACTGATATAATCAATTAATTAAAATCACTAGAAATATTTTTTTTCCTTCGCCATATTCTATTTGATTCGATTTCTATGGAGGAATTAAAAAGAAAAAGATGGTACAGTTAGAGAACTAAAGGCAGGCGAGAAATGAGAAGTCGTCTTTGGGAGAGTTTCTGGAAATTGCGCGGTCATTTCCCTGGACGGTTAATACTGAATTTAATTGGAGTTTGTTAAATTTTACACCAGAAAGAAGGGGAAAAAATATTTCAATTTGCTCTTTAAATATTCTGTTACTTGTGAGTGGAATCAGATTAGAAAAGATAGTGTTTGTTTAAAGGACTATATGGGAATTACCGTAGTCATGCTCCTGAACTGACGACATTAAATTCTCTTAAAAAATAAGTGATGGATTGTTTTATGTAATAGAAGGAACCAAGCTAGGAAACACAAATATTGTGGTATGAAAACATTTGTTACTTATTTATGTTATTTATTTTTAAATAAAAAATTTGCTCAAGTAACATACTTTACTGTCTTCCATAATTCTTACCAAAGGTTTAGCTTAACACCAAAGACACAACCTGAACCATTAAGTAAGTTTAAAGAACTGTGATTTTAGTTTAGTAAATTGGTGTTTTTGGTGTCACTAAAATAAACAGCATTTTCCCCTGTTGCTTTCTTTTTGGTGGTTCTTGTTGTGCACCGCAGTACGAAATACACACACTCTTCATAGTTTTCAGCTCAGTATGTGTGTGGGAAAGGGCTTTGCAGCATGTGTACTTTCCAGCATTTTAGCTACATGATGCTTTTTTGCATCCCCAATACACTACAGTGCAGATTCGGTAATGAGCTTGGGTTAAAAATTCGCACTTGAAGAGATCATTGCCGTTTATAGCTCTTTAGGGTTGCATCACTTTTGAGGGAAAGGTGCTTAAATTTGGTGTCAGTATCCGGCAAAGATAAGACACGGAGGCTCTTCAGGCCGGGAGGGAAACAGAATACTCCTGAGTTTCAAGAGAAAGCGTGTCTTTCCTTCCTCCCGATGACCTATATTTACTCTTTAAATTTCCTCCCTCCCCCACCATCCTGTTATTCTCTGGGGAGCGCGTCCAGAAGGAGATTGACACAAGCGCCCCAAAGGTGAGAGATGGGCAGGTGTGAACTGTGTGTCTCAGACAGCTATGCCTTTGTGGGGTGAGGGCTTGGTGTGGACAAATAATAGAGTGAGTTCCGCACACACAGGCAACGGAGATGTTCTGGCGGTTGAATGACCTCGTATGAGAGTAAGTTTGGGGGCTATACAAAGACTTACTTGAAAATAGTAACTACTCTTTAGTTGCCCCCCCCCCAAAGTATACTTTTTAAAAAGAAACCCGAATCACAGTAGGATATGCCCTTTGCCACAGGCTTCGGCAGAAGTTGTCAAAGCATTAAAGATGCAGTTCCGAGGTTTTGAGTCGTCCGTTTCCTGTGCCCAGAGTGCAAGAGAGTCTTCAGCAGGCACAAAGTGAGAGACCCGTGTCATCTCTGGGCAACCGCAGCGGCTGTCGACCCGTCGGTCTGATGAGAGGCTGCAGGCAGGGCCAGGAGGTGTGTAAGTACCCTGGTCTGGAACTCCGGCTAGAAGCTGCTAGTAAGGGGCTGGGTGGGGATGAAAAGGCTTTGGGGGACGGTGAGCAGAGGTGGTCGTAGGCAGAGATCGGCCCGGACACGCGCAGAATCAAGGCCGGGGAGTTGGGATGTGTGGCGAGGGCTTGGCTGGTCAGCGCGGGCTGGAGGGCCGGGGGCCGGCGGGGAAGGGGCGCGTCCGCGCGGGCGCAGCAGGGCCCGGCTCGCAGCCCACCGAGGGCCATCTACCCCCGGCGTGGCCGCGAGCTCCTGGAACCCCGCGGCTGCTTGCCCGCGCCTGACCTTCCGTCGGCGCCGCGCTTCGGCCTGGGCCCGCCCCGGGAATCGGCGGAGCCGGGGAGCCCCGGCAGCCGGCTAGCCTTCGAGGAGGCGGCCGGGGAGCTCCGCGCCCGAGCCTTCCTCCTCGGCCCCTCGGCCCGCTCTTTCCTAGTCTTCTCCGTCTCCTCCCTTCCTCTCGCCTCCCACGCCTCTCTCTTCTTTCTCCTCCGCAGTTCGGTTCCTGCGCGCCCCTGGCGTGCGGCGCCCTCCCGCCCCGGGAACAGCCCCGGGCCGAAGCGCTGCGGGGCGGCGAAGCTTGGGGCGCAGGATGGGAGGGCGGTGGGAGGGACCAGGGGGCCAGGAGGGGGAAAACCCCGGCCCTCCGGCGCGCGCCAAAAGCTGCTGCGCACGCGCCCGCGCCCTCCACCTGCGCCCTCGGCGGGCCTGGGTCTCCCGGCCGAGGGGCGGGTTGGGGGGGAGGCCGCCTTCTGTGCTGGGAGAGACCCCAGGGAGTGAGAGGCCACTCCGCAGCGGCTGTGCAGTGGAAGGCCACGCGGGACTTGGCCCTCAGACGCCGATGACCTTGACTGAAGTCACCTGCTTTCTCAAGGTCAAGTTTCGCAGTCGTTTAAAAGGAGGGCTTGTATCTGGTGTCCTCCGAGACGCTGCTGAACAGCGCTCACTGGCGCGCGGGCGGGAGGAGGGAGGCAGTGCGGGCTCGCCAGAGCCAGGTCTAGGTAGAGGCCGCGCCCGGGACTGACTGTCTGTCCCCATCCGCAGGCTCCTGAGGGCACTCCCAGCATCCGCAGCACCCCAGACTTCAAGCTACATGCCACTTCCCCGCCAGCAGACAGCGGCTCATGGGTTCCTAAGTCTTCCGTTTCCCGACCCCCACCAGGGTTTTTCATGAAATGGTCCAGGTGTATCAGACGGAAGAGAAGGATTATTACGGGCCAAGGAGGTTTTGTATTTAAACAAATGTTGTTTACCAACAATGTGCCAGGAGCCACAGCCTATTGTTTTATTTAATCTACACAACCCTTGGGGTGTGGTTAGTAGAAAACATGATTATCCCCATTTTATAGATGAGCAAACTGAGACTCACGGAGTTTAAATGACCTGACCATCAGTAAGTGGCTAAATCAGGATTTAAATCTGACTTTGGCTAATGCCAGTCTAGTTGGGTTTTCTACTCTAATCGGTTTTTTCTCAAACTTCTTCACATTTATTCTTGTTAAACGTTTCCCATAGTCTTCCATACCCATTTCTATCTACTCATTCATCAGAAAAGGAGCTCGGAACTTAAAGAAATCAAAGAAAAAATCCAGGCAGGCAAATATGACGATTTTTTTCTGTTCCAAGCATTTGAAAATAAAGGACTCTAAGGCCTGCAGAACTGAACCCAAACCTTGTTACATACAAAGAAAGAAACACCATTATTATTATTATTATTATTATTTAAAGATTTTATTTATTTATTTGACAGATACATAGCTAGAGGGAACACAAGCAGGGGGAGTGGGAGAGGGAGAAGCAGGTTTCCTGCTGAGCAGGGAGCCGGATGCGGGGCTCGATCCCAGGACCCTGGGATCATGACCTGAGCCGAAGGCAGACACTTAACGACTGAGCCACCCAGGCGCCCCAACACCATTATTATTTTAATCAATAAACTAAACCGTGTGTAGAGGGAGACAGACAGCCAGGTGATGGAAGTTAGTTGGGTTCAGAAATATGGGGACCTGAGTTTGCTCAAGGCTCTAAAATGCAGATACGACCTCACGGAAGACACTTTGGAGCTTCGTTTTCTTACCTGTAAAAGGCCAGGAATGAAGATCACCTCTCAGGTTTAAAAAAGGAATTGAACGGAGTCCTGAACCCGCCTGGGTACAGTGGAGGACGAGCGCCACCTAGCGGGCACCCCTGAGGGATGTGTGGCGTTCCCATCTAGAGAAGAACCGTGAAAAGCAGCTTAGGCAGAAAGAACATGTTGGTTTCACAAAACGAAATGTTTTTACTCCTAGTTCTATATTTCCACAGTCTCACGTTGTCAGTGATGTAATAGCGGAGGTGATCCATTTAAAAAACTCACGCAGACGCAGTCCGGACCCCCACTGGAGACTCCCCGCACTCAAGGCCAAGGGAAGATGGGAGCCCCCTCGGACATGTAGGGACCAGTTTTAGAATCGAAGTGGTTGCAGTGGGGAGAGCCCAGAGACCTCCTGACCTAACAGCTCCTCGATTCCTGTATGCTGGCTCTGTAGTAAGCTGAGTGCTCCACCGGGCTCCTGATGGGTGGTGATTTAGGGCACATGCTGTCTGTGTGTTTACTGGGGTCGTAGGAAGATTTTTTTGTTTCTTCAGAAACTTATTTATGAGACTAATAGGGGTATTTCACCGCAAACATCAGGAAGTTCAGGCATTACAAACAAACCCATTTGTCCCTCAGGTTTTATTTTCTCATTTGGGTTGTCTATTGGATAGTGGGCAGGTGATGGTGCTAATTGAGGGGAGGGTGGGTAAGTCTGAGAAGCAGGTTTGAGTAGATAAAGAGGAAGATGTTATGCGCTGTTCCTTGTGTCGAGTGTGAGATGCTTATAAAATACAAGCGCAGTCTTCTGATTTTATCCTATTCCTGTC